TAAGAAAGTAAAAGAGTGTACACATGAGATTACATTTTCTCTATGTTATTCATTTAAATGTATGATGTTTTTGATGTGGTTTGATTCTCTGATCAGCTGGGTGATCTGATTGGAAAGCCTTTATTGTCCTTCTAGACAACATCTTCAGGGTAAATTTCACTGTGAAGTGAACTTATATGAATTCTCCATGAATTATATAATGCTATCCCCTGACAACTTTTGTCGTGATTGGTTGCTAGTTTGCCTTAGTATTGATCCTTTTTATTGACTTGGAGTCTGACTTTTGTTTTCGTCATTTAGCTTATTCTATATTATATAGTTGATTTGTAAGGGTTAGGTGATAAAATTAATCTGTAGTAGTGTGTCTGTCGGTCTCAGATTCGTCTGAGTACCGGGTTTTAAGAAACCCTTTGGTATTATTTGTGTTCATACTGGTCTACAGGTATAGATACGAAAGAATACATGTTGCATTTATTTGACAGCTATTTTATGTTCCTAGACTTGGAATTAAAGGGGACTCCAGCTTTCACCAATATAGTGCTCATCACAGTTCATGCCACTTATTTAGTTGATGTTAGTGATCTTGTGGCAAATAACACCACCAGTCAATGAAATCCACAACAGTTAGTTTAAGCCACGTAGGAAGGTGTAGACTTCCGAGTTGGGGTCTTCGGGACAGTAAAAACCATTTAAGGCTGGAAACAATTGGTGATATGGCTCAAAATCGTTCTCAATGACAGCGCAGATGCATCTACTCCTTGTGACTTAAGATTTTCAGGGAAACTATATTACTCTTCTTTATTACTATTCCTTTGTCTCACACCTCTGTTTACTGTCTCTATTATGCATTTCTTCTCTTGCTTCGTGTGCTACATGGAGTGTGGCGACTGGAACTGTCGCACATCGGTGCAAAGTTCTATGTCGAAGACAGACAGACAGTAATCTTGTGTTGTTATGCTGTCTGGTCTTTTGTTCTGTATAGTCCTGAATGAATGATTTTGCTGGTTTTTGGGTTAGATCTGTTCTGAATAGTTTTAGTATTCTAAGCCGTTATTTCAGAAATATATCTGTATATATAAATAGTACTATTATGTCAGTACTTAACAAAATATAGAAAATGGATTATTTTTTTCTTTGAGTGATGTTGATAAAGGATAGACAAGATTGAAAGCTAACATGTCAAATACGTATGCATTAAACTGTGAATACACTTCATACACAAGTCTATTCATCTCACACTGAATATTCACACATGGATTGGATTTCATTCTATTGTCCTGTTGAAATTAAGGCCATTGGCAGTAAATGTTAGTATGGTTTCTTGTTGTATTTTGGTGGTTCAGTGGTTTTTGACAGTCTATTATATTTTGCTATGTATATATGGATCGATATTCCATTATAACTGATAATATGCTTTTGTCTGTCCACTAACTAAATAAACAATGTATGACCTTGTTATCACATGACACTACAACCAATCATGGTAAGATGTTATCTTATTAGTTCATGTGTATTAGCCATTTTCATATATACTTTTGTATTAGATTCTTGTTCACACACTTTTTTCGTACACTTGTACCAATTCACTCACACACTAGTGTGACATTTATTTTCCTTGTCTGGAAAATACAAGTATCACAGTAAACCTGGTGGTCTTCTGATTTCCCTCTTTCCGCGTCAGGAATATTAACAACTCGACAAGTACATAACATAATTGGCGACGGGGAAAACTAATAACTCACTCAGCAGCAGTACATAACAACTGGCCAACCGCGCAAGTGGTCCTGGGTTCGATCCCCTGCCAGTGCATTGTAAATAGGGGAGATTGAACATTAAGCTAACAATTCTACACCGTAAAACAACACTTTTGCTACTGAAACTTGAAAAGCTCCAGCTTGAAGCCTTATTTTCCACTGAGAACGGCAAGGAATTAAATGAATAATACATATACAATATGGCTTCCTGTTAATATCTAATGTTATTATCATTAATTTATACCTTAATAGTGTTTCAGACAAGAGAGATAAAAGGCTGCTGATATCACGTATACCATTACTAGGCTAGAGACGATTTATTTGTCCGAACTCTTGTTTATTCACACTTATATATATTTCGATGTTCACCAGTGACTGACTGCAAGACGATGTTGCTTAAAGTCTTGGTGAGAAGTCCTGATCAGTGGTGTTTAGCAGGTTGATTGTGACAACAAATACACGACGGTGACATCGACTGTTGGCTGGACTCATTAAAATCGCGAATTTACAGAAGTTAGAATTCATGGGCCAGTAGTTGAATGGTCAACGAGCTCACCTCATAACGTGTAGGTCCCAGGGTTCGATCCCTGTTGGACTTGTGGGTGTGTGTACTTCTGAATAGTTCAAAACTAGGACGAAATAGCTAGTTGTTCAGTGCACCTTAGCTATTAATGGTCCTCTAATGCATATCAATCCATGATCAAACTTGAAACCAATTAAAGCCCCACCAACTAATTATTGATAATAAGGAAGGATGCCTGTTGAAAAAGTACAGTGCCGTAGAAGATCCAAAATAAGATAACTTTTTGATAAAGCATACAGTACTGATGACATTTCGAGTGCAATTTATTGTTTATAACATATCAAGGTGTAATTATGAAAAGTAATACAATATCACTGAATATTTGATTAAATAAAATTATTCTACTATGGTACTTATACTATCCCACGGTGAGCCCAGATTCTATTTTTACCTCAATGGAACCATAAACATGGTAACATTGACTTTACAGACAAGAATGAAAATGGCAATCAACTTGCATTTGTAGACAAATATTTGAGTCTAAGAAAATGAAATTTAACAGAATGGTCATATTTATAGAAAGATCATGCTAACAGAACAGACAATATTTAAATTTCAGCTTTTTCTTCTTCTCTTAATGCAATACAAGACTGACTTGATCATATGCTTATTCACAATAGGTTTCATTGCATCTGTATAGCTTAATATATTATACGTGATGACTTGTAAATATTGGTAGATGCATTCGTAGAAAACGGATAACTACTGAAGCTTTTGAACCGATGTGGAAGACAGTCATCTTTGCAGACTATAATCTGTTCTACCGTTGGAAAATCTGGGAGCACTGAACAGGTGTTTCGTCAGCCTAGTTTGGGTCTCTTTATCAATACTCACCCTCTGGGTTCCAAACCCAGGACCTTCCTGTTACAAGGTAAGCTCGTAGACCATTCAGTCACTGAGACCTAATCCAATGGCCTATGAATTCTAACTTCTACCATTTCGTGATTTTGGCCCAACCACCAGCCAATGTCATCACTGGAGAACGTTTATCCTCACACTCGACCTGCAGTACCCCACTGGTCACGACTTCTCACTAGAACCCAAGTAACTACCTACCGGAATAGGGCCAATAGCTAGTGTGTATATTTCAGTATCTAAGATCTATACATCCTATGAACTATTTTATATGTAGCATTATTTGTTTCATCGCTTTTTACTGAACTTACTGATCATATTCTCAAATATTTCTTTCGCATTTCACATCATTATCACAGGTGTTCACACCTTTTATTTGAATTTCCACAATGGGATATAGGTTCTTAAAAAGCCTATGTATATACTACTGTAGAGTTTGATGATAAATTGATTGGAAAGAGGTTTTTCCGCTAAATATTGTGATCTCAGTGCTAATTTGTCTATATTTCCAAGATAAAGTATGTTATGCTATTCTTTTCTTTTCTCTCTCTCCCTCTCTGTCCAACTTAATCTTAAATCAATCAATTTGTTTTGGTGTGATAGAGACAATGTGTTGCAACGGGATATTTTCTCACACATTCCCACAGTTCATTACTGTATTAGAAGCAGGATAATATATATATATATATATATATATATATATATATATATATATATATATTTAAACATTACATTAGAGACAGAATACTTTTCCCATACTTCAATACGGCATCAGCAACAGAATACTATATGTGAATTTGATCATTCTATTTCATTTCGGTTAATGTGTCCAAAATCACACGCTCAGTGATTGGTTAAGGTATATAAACTGTATATATGTAAACAGTGGTTCGATCAATGAAAAATATACTTTGGCTTCCGTGTCTTGCCTTCTGCTGTTACATTTGCCGAAAAATACACAGCCTATAATACCCTGCAGTTTTTGAAGGAGGAGACATATGGATCTTCCTGAAGGACTTCGAGGCTGTTGCATAGTTGAATGGCGTTCACGAGCCGTCAGCGGAGATGCTGTTACTTGGATCGCTGCTGAAAAGTTGGGCGAAGGCAGCATATAATAGTATGAGACGAAACATCGGCGAATACACGCCAGGATCACTCAAACTGCTTCTAAAGTGGGAAGGATCATACACGCTTACCGCGAGACAGGGGCACGTATATACGATCAGAAATGGAAACAAAAAGAGACTTGGATGGACGTCAGTGAGCTCTAGAACTGCAGACAGCAAACAAAGACGCAAGCACCAAGATGACCAAACGGACTTCAGCAGAAAGTATTTGACGTGTGGATGAGTGTGGTGGTGTGGTACAGACAATGTGTTCCAACGGAATATGATTCTCACATATCCCCATATTTCGATTCGGCATTAGCAACAGAATACTAAATGTGTATTTGAACATTCTATTTCATGTCGTTCAGTGTAAATCAAAATCTCAAGCTCAGTGATTGGTTAACGAATATATATATATATATATATATATATATATATATATATATATAGTGGTTTGATCAATTGAAAATATACTTTTGCTTCCGTGTTTTGCCTTTTACTGTTACAATTTTATTTAGTTTATGTCTGATTTTCCATTTCTTCATTTTCAAATAGACCATTTTGGCAAGTAAATCTATGATCAAATTGTTTTAAATATATTGCGAAAATCTATCATATTTTCACATAGTTTCTAAAGTGAAAATGTCTGAATAAGATAAAAAGAAGAAACAAGAGTAATTAATGTGATGGTATACTTACCACAATTCAATATTTTCATTGAACTATCATTTTTGTTCTCAATATTATTCACGACAGATTCATTTGAAAATGTTGATGGTCTAGTTTTTGCAGCTAATATAGCCCTAGAAATATCTTCAAGCCATCTATCACGTTGCCAGTCTGAAGAAGCAGCCACAAGGAAACAACGATTACCTGAGTAAATTGTAAAACTATGTGCAGGTTCAACTTCTTCAACCATTAAATCTTGTAATGAGAATTGACCATGAACCTAGAATGTATGAATGTGTAATATTCATAAATGATGAATAGATGAATAAGTGTGTTACAGGATTGTTAAAGTGACAGAAAAAGGGGATGAACATGTTTGACATCATATGTACAAACAAACTGAAATGAGAAAAATGTTTCATGCTACAAATGTCTATAAAGCTCTTCATATGTGAGAAATGCTAAAATTCATCCCATGAAGCCTTTTCACAAAAAGTGCAATTCTCATTATTTTTCAAATTACTACTTTTATTTCCTTTAATTCCTAGAGGAACATAAGTCTTCAGCTGCGCGTCTCCATTGCCTTCTGTTTTCTGCCAACTTTTTCACTCCGCTCCAGGTCTGCCCACATGCTTTCATCTCCTCCTCACATGACATCCTCCAAGTCACCCTTGCACTGACGACCAACTCGCCGCCTCCCGTTCGGGTCCCACTCGAGCAATGGCTTGTCTAGTGATGTCACTCACTTGATGGTTTCCTCAGAGTATGGCCAGCCAATCCATCTCCATCTCTTCCTGCTTATTTGTTACACAATTGGTTCCTGGTGAGTTCGTCCGCTCCTAGAGATCCCTGTTGCTGATCATTTCTCGCCGGTCATCTGATCTTGAGTATTGAGCGAAGACAGCTGTTGATGAAGGTCTGTAGTTTGTTTGAGATGCTCTTTATGACGCGCTGGCCAAGTCTCTGATCCGTATAGTAAGTAGCACTGACTTCACATTGGAATTGAAAATCCGGATCGTATTTTTCATACAGGGTGCTGTTGATTTCTACCCATTCTTGATAGTAATGAAAGCTTGCTTTCCTTCCCCAATCATCGCCTTGATATGCTGATCAGTTCTGTCCGCCTGTAGTTGAAACGATGCTTCCCAGGTAGGCAGGCGAAGGAGGTTGTTTCTTTCAGGTTCCTCCCATGTATGCTAGCTGATTGTTGTCTGTTGTTGTTGTTGCTGTTGGTGTTGGCCAGGAATCATCATCACCTCTTTTTTTTATGTTCACCTGGAGTCGTATCTTCTCGGGATGCTTCTTCTGCCAAGTTGTTGCTTTTCACTTGCATATCTTCCAGTTTGTGAGAAATCAGACATATATATCTCATCGGCGAAGTCCAGATCCTCCAAGTTTTTGTGTGAGTCCATTTTATGTCTGTTTCCTCATTGCCTGTTGTCTGTCGCACTATCCAATCTACTGCTATCAGGAAAATCATTGGCGATAGTAGACAACCTTGCCTCACTTCGAAGAATTCCGTAAGTTTCCCGTTGTAGATTACTTGGCATGCAGCATTGTCATACAACTATTGTGTGAGATGTATAATTGTCGGTGGCACCCCGTAGTAGCGAGGTAGTTTTTCGAATAGGGGGACGATATTACCTTTTAGCCCTCAAAGAGTATAAGTACCGTTAATTTGAATTAAACATCACTAGATGATCTTTTAGGAAACGGGTAGGATTTCGCAAAAAAATAAAATAAAACGAGAATGTGTATGTTATTTATTGCCTTTTATTGTAGGAATTTCTGTATTTATATCATATGAAAACGCTTTGTATGAATCTGAATTTTAGTGGGGATTCGGCAGCTGATATCATAAAGGGGAGAATATCCAGCTCTTTAAAGAAGACATTCCTTGCAGCAACACTAAGAGTAACATTCTCTGACTGCCCAATACTTCGAAACAATCCTAAAGACAAACTCTCGCATATGGTCAGTTCAATGTGGATATACCAGTTCACCTGCTCATGTGGAGCTAGGTACATAGGTCGTTGTATGCGCGTCCTTTCAAAACGTGTTAGTGAACATTACCGAGCGTGGCTGCAAAGAGGAAGCACCGGTTCAATCAGAAGTGTCATTACTGAACATCTGATCAACACCTCCCATAACATTTCAACTGATTCATTCAAAGTAATTTACAAAGTTAGCAGAAACCTACCAAGAACAGGATGTTTTCGACTTTTCTGTATTGCAGAACCCCTCCCAATATGCATCGGAAAGCCAGAGATGTTTTTTCAAAAGAAATTAGTCCAACCTCTACAACTACCATAGACCTAGTTTGGTATGCTCCCTTAGCCTCTGTTTTTCTCTTTTTCCATTCTTTTTGGGTCTTTTTTTCGTTCGCTGTTTGTGTGATTCTTATTCTCTCTGTCTTCATTCAATTCATCCTACTTTTTTCAGTTATAAGGACAGTTATTTTAAGTTTGTTTCCATGCTTTTTCTGCTCACGGTTATAATTCGTTTAAAATAACTATTTTACAATTATATTCTAATCCTGTGTAATTTTTGTTTCTAAGGCTCTTGAAATCTATATATTCACACCTCCTAACTCCCATCTCAAGTTGAAACTTATTATTTCAATTTGTTTCCATGCTCATTTTTTTACACACTTGTAATTCAATCTAATCCTGCGTAATTTTGTTTCTAAGCCTCTCGTGAACTATATCTAGTTGAAAATAATTGTCACCTTTTATTCGCCTTCATAATTATATGGAATCAAATAAAAATTTTATCTATGTAAAATATGTATCTAAATGTGATTGTACAGTTTTTGAAAATGAAATCACCGAGAAGATATCTTTACTGAACTTCATGTTCTCTTCTTTCTAATATATTGTATAGACTACCTCTACAGATGAAGTAAAGCGGAGAACATGATATAAAAATGCTTTCTAGTAAAGGAAGACTACTCTTAGTCGCTTATAAAGCTTTACAAGATCTCACTTCCAGGTATTCTAGGTATGAGGATTACCTTTAAAGAATACTGTTTTTACAGACTAACAAGAAAGACTGACTTAATGTTGGATGCAAGGCTTTGTTTCAAACTTCAGTGTGGCTTTTTTTTTTAAAATTTTATCATTAACTGGTGTCATTTGGAGGACTGCTGTAAATAATAAACTACTGAATAGTGCTTTTTATCTCTCTTTAAAACCTGCTATCAGTTAGAATTTATTGATTCGCCTGAGATCCAGCCTAAAGACATCAGCTATTGTCATTCTTCAAGTTAACGTTGGAACGCTAAAATGGAATCCCATGACTAGTGTTCATCGATTTTCCAATTGATCACAGGATTTCATCATGAGCTGACATCGGTTACAGAACCATTGGAAAACCTGGGAGTACTGGACAGCTGTTTCGTCAGCCTAGTTTGGGACTCTTCATCAGTACGCACCCACCGCCACTCTCGAACCCAGTATCTTCTAGTTACACGGTGAGCCGGCTCATCGACCATTAAACAACTGGGATCTAATCCAATGACCAGTCTATGAATTCCAACTTCTGCCAATTCACGACATAGCGCGACCACTAGCCAATGTCTTTGGCGAGTATTTGTCCTCATATCTGACCTGCTGCACCAATTAATAACAAAACCAATCATATAATACCAATTAATAATATAACGCAGATGCTCTGCTGGTATAATCAGTAGGTGACTTTTATTAAATGTGTCTTGATTCACTCCACTCTTCATTGTAGGTAGTAAGATAGCTTCACGTTGAAGCTCTTACCTATTGTGACCTGATGATTATGAGGTCGATCTTATATGAAGTTATAGTTGCAAAGCTCTGAAAAGTTCCAAACTAAAAAGAAATACCTGACCAGTGCTGTCTGTTTGTGAATGGTTTTTTTCACTGATATCCACTTGTGGTGAATAGTATGTTAAAATCAATCAATTCCTGACATACTGTTCAAGTGAATCAAAGCTTTATTATTATAATTTTTTTCAAATACGGTTAACAGAACTAGCTTTCTCACATACATCATTAAAAGCAACATAATGTTAAGTTTCACTTGCATTTGTCTGATATGATGGTACTCAAAATAATAATTTCAATAAAAGACTATCTCTTCACATGATATAGTCTACCCAGAAAAAAATAGTTGCCAGCCTAGACAGTACGCCTCAACAGTTTCTTGTATACATACATATATTTGAAGGGCTATGAAAATGACAATGACACTACCTATTATGTTGCTAAGCTGCATAAATAGATGAAAATATCCTCGTCCAAATTTTGGTTCATTAATGGATTTATTATGTTTTGAAACAGCATAGTAACATGCAGGATACAATTAGTCAGATCATGTAAATTTTTGATTTTGGTTAGCTGAATGTTAAGGCCCCGCTTTTTTTCTCTTTTCATATATTTACTTAAAAATAATAGTTATCTCTCATCTTAATGGTTACCATGGTTTTTTTTTGCATTTTTAAAAGAGCAGTATGATTCATTAGTTAACATATTACTTTGTCACCTAGATATATCGATTTTTTTGGTGTCTGTTATCAGTTCACATATATATATATATATATATGTAATGTAGAAGATGGTTGAATTGAAATGCGAATATAGTCGTCTCACAGTTCATTGCAGTTCATAGCTTTAATCGCTAAATGCTTTCTTTATTCAGACGTAATTCACAATTATGATATAGAGAAGAATTTAAGCGCATTACTGTACTTAAATATTACTATCTATGTACAGTAAATGAAATTGTGTAAGTGTTAACATTTATATCGCCTAGATTTAAATCTAAACTCTAAAAAAATCTCAACTGATTTGTTTCAAGTGAAATGAATTACTTTCTAAAATTATTAAAAGCCTTATGGATTAGTGATTATGTAGTTGTTCAACTAAGCAATCTATTCATCACATATATTGGGATAATTATATCCACTCATTGATAATCTTGTTTGATAAATATACTATTGGGGCAGTCTGTAGCATGAATAGCTCAGTAGTGGTAGCGTTTCTGGATAAAACACTGAGTAACACGGGTTCGAGGCCTAGGACAGACATGAATTCCTTCATAGTTCCATATATTAGTTGAGTGTATTTGGCAAAAAGCATACTGATACAGTATTATTTAATTACTGGTGACATTTCGAACACAATCCGCTACTCACAACTGATATGATTATATGCAATGAATTGTCCTCAAAATGTCATCCATTTATTAAAACTTTATCACAATGTATTATAATTAAATAGACTTGTCTAGTAAGGAATTATTCTCCAC